TCGAAATTGAACTGTTGTAGAATTGTCAACCAACGTTCATAAATGGCTCCTTTGAGTTTCTGCTGAAACAGCGGACGGAGTGCTTGATGATCACATTCGACAATAAACTTGTTTCCTCGTAAGTATGAAGCACAATCCAGGATGGCTGTTGTCATACCTAATAGTTCTAGTTTTGTCGGACCATAGGAATGTTGCCACTTAGAGAGGGCTTTAGATCCAAACCGTACTACATGCGGAATCTTGGATTCTGTGTCGGTATCACTGTGATATTGGTACAACATGTACCCAATACCATGGCTTGATGTGTCCACTGCTAATCTGAACTGTTTATCAAAACGAGGAAAAGCGAGTACTGGAGAATTGAGCAAGCTGTTCTTCAACTCCTCAAAAGCGGATTGGTGTTCGAATGACCATACAAATGCCACATCCTTCCTGAGTAGCCGATGTAGAGGAGAGGCTATCGGACTGAAGTTAGCGATATATTTCCGAAACCATCCGATCATTCCCAAGAACCGTCGCAATGATTTGACATTGGTGGGCGGGGGTACTCCTTAATAGCAGCAACTTGTTTGGGTGGTGGTGATATACCTGACCGAGTTATCAAATGGCCTAAAAACACAATCTCTGACTGGGCAAATTTACATTTCCGAGGACCTAGCTTTAGTCCTGCTGCACGGAATCTGTCAAATACCTCAGCTAAGTCAGATAAATGTTGTTCGAAAGTCTCTGAACAAATTAAAACATCGTCCAAGTAGCATAAAGCTGCTTGAAATGTGAGTCCATGCAAGACTTTATCCATCAAACATTGAAACGAATTTGGAGATGTCCGCAATCCCATAGGAAGCCTAAGAAATTTGTATGTTCCGAAACACGTATTAAAAGCAGTGTACTTTGTCGACTCTGGAGAAATACTCATCTGGAAAAAGCCAGAAGATAAATCAATTGACGTTAAAAAGTTTGGTATACGTGCAGTGAATGATTCAGTTAATTCCTCCAAGTCTGGAATGGTGTAACGGAATTCTTCCATCTGAGAGTTGAGAAATCTGAAGTCACAGCAGAAACGATATGACCGAAGTGCCTCTTCCTTAGTCATGGAGGAGTTATTCCCCTTTGCTCGTTGATTTGTCTTAGATACAAGTACGACAGGACTTGTTATGGGTAAATCCTCACCATCACTCACAGGGGAAATAATACCCTGCTTGACTAGTTCCTCCAACTGATGTCGTAACACCTCGCGCTTCTCTGGCGACAAGCAATACGCCCTCTGATGAAAGGTTTTCGCATCCGGCTTTAAGCGAATGTTATGTTGAACAAGAGTAGTAAAGCCTAAGGCTGGATTATCTTTGGTAACAAACAAGTCTTTACTTTCATACAGACATCTTATTAACTTTTCTTTCTGTGCATTGTTCAAATTGTCATTACACATGTCAAAATTCTCAATAAATTCATGAAATTCTTCCTCATAGTTTGTGTTGTCACTGTTTTGCTTACATGTACCCTCAGACATACCAGTATGGTCCTGAGTAACCTTAGATGTCTGTACATTAGCACACATTTTGTTATCATCTGATACTTGATTTGGACTACTACACACTAAAACACCATCATTACTATCAAGTAGTGTTAATTTTGCTAAATTGTTACCCCTAAACACAGTAACAGTAGAGTCTGTTGGGTTAAGTATTTTCACAGGAACCATATGGTTTAAGGTAACAGTAACTACAGCTTTAGCTACCAACAGACCTGCTCTAGACACATGAGCACCAATAGTACACACACCCTGAGTACCAAATGCAAGTCCATCAGGTACCTTTCCCCAAATAATAGCCTCACTATTGGGCAATATTTCTGTTGTTTGTTTACATTTCACATTAAACTTTGAAGATTTCACACATCTGTCAGAAAAATCTAGAACAATACTGTTTGACTTCAAATAACCTGTACCCAAAATAAGTGGGTGTGATACCTGGTCAATAATATACACTGTAATTGTACATGTACCTTTGTTATGCATTTTGACCTTGATCTTTGACTGACCTTCAACACTAACAACCTGATTATTGGCCAGTCTCATACTTTCTTGACCTGAGCTACTTATTGCTCCTTTACAATGATTTGGTATTTTGTCAAACAAATATTTAGAGATCAAATTAATTGAACTACCAGAATCTAACAATGCTGACACTTTCATGACACCAATATGAATAGGCATAAACAAAAAATGAGAAAAATTGTCTTGATCACAATCAATATCAGTGTCCGAAGAAAAATTTTCATTGTCTTGGTCCGTTAACACTTGGCGCTAAAAGTTATTACATTTGAGTCTCTCCCCAGACGATGGCTCCTGTAACCGCCTGGGACTGGCTAGTTTCCCAAACACACTGTGGCCGTATGTCCAAATTGTTCACATATTTGACACTGTATCTCAGGAGTGCTGGATCTTTTGCCATTCCATTTACAGTAAGCTTTAGTATGGCCCTGTCCCTTACACTTGTAACATGTCCGCCGTGTAGAACTTGTACCTTGGCAATTTTGCTGCTGGGTCTGTGAATTTAACACAAGATTGGACAGTTTTGACTCAATCACCTCCATCCGTCGTGCCAAAGATTGACAAGCTGCAGCATTACCATTGTCTTGTTGAATCGTGGCAGCCTGGACCATAGGGGGTGCTGGTACCACATGTGGGGCCTGTACTGGTACTGACTGGACAAGTGCTGGTTGCTGATGAGGTTGTGGTGCTTGTACCACATGCTGGACCTGTACTGGTACTGACTGGACCAGTGCTGGTTGCTGATGAGGTTGTGGTGCTGGTACCACATGTGGGACCTGTGCTGGCACTGATTGAACTGCAGTTGGAGAAAAGGGAGATGGAGAATACCTCAACTTGTAAGCTTCCCCCATTTTCGCTTGTGACAAAGCCTCGTGTAAAGATGTGGGTCTGCCTGTACGCACATAGAGTTTTAGCTGATCTGGAAGACCATCGATGAACCTGTTCATGATATCAATTTCTGCCTTTCCTAATCTCCGCCCTTACTGGACTAATACAGAATGAAAGTCTTCTATTGGCTGTCCCACTTTCAAAATGACAGTGTTAAACAGTTCATTATCAGCTATCAACTGTGGGTTCTGACTTGGATCTGTTGACATAAATTGTTGCTCAAATGCTTGTTTCACTCTGCGCCAAGCCACTAACGTTGTGGTAGAAAGCTGGCTAAACCACGTGAGTGCTGGACCCCCTAAATGTAGGTAAAAACCTGCAATAATTTGGGCATCCCTTCCTTCTAGTCCTTGCAATACAACATAGGAAGTGAATTCTTGCAAAAATTTACACGGATCCTCATGAGCATAGCCATGAAAAGTTTGTAAGGGTCTGGGGGTGAAAAATGAAAAGTTCCCGCCGTTTGGGGCGGCCATATTGGTTGGGTTATTGGTGCGCGATTGACCACGGGGAGTAGAAGATCTGTCAGAAATATCCCAGTCTTTCATAAAACTGTAATCATCATTCAGCGAAAACATTGTACAAACCGTCAATGTACCACAACACGATTAGAATTCTCCACCATGTTCCAGGATCATAGAGTACCGATCTGGAAAGCTTCAGAAGAACAAAGCACGTCTTCCATTTTTATTATTTTATTCAACTTTTTTAAATTCCGCCTCCTATTTAGGAGAGTTAGAAACAAAAGTGAAAGTGAAAGTAGAATTACAGTTACCTCCCCTTCCTTATGTATTTCATAGAATGACATACATAATAACGTATTGGTATGACATTCTGACCTAACGCCTATTTCAACCCCGGGGTCAGAGGTCGAAATAAGCAACCCACCTCTTAAAATGTATACAACATAGTGCCATCCACATTAGCTTGATGATAACAAGTGTATACATTTGTAACTATGCCTTTATATAACTCTCATATTCGAAGCAAATTTCCAATCTGTGTCCGTGGTTTCCGCTTGGCTACATTTAATCGATTTTCACCTTTATCAAAATTATTCTGAAGCCATAGCCATGATATCAATGTCAGAGACGTATGGCAGTGTGTTATGTCACTTTTGATGTCAAGTGTAAACGCAATGGAAGTGTACACATTTGATTAAGTTTGAATAAGATTAAGCTTACAACATAGTTTCTCAAGTTTTTATTCCCCAATCATAGTTTTTAGATATCTGGTTTTCCTCACCCGATCTGCCAAAGCTTTTACCACACATGTATCTAAATTGAATTAAATGATAATACAAATAAATAATAAATTACGTGTAACGTTGTTAGCTACAATTAAACTATATTTGCTTACCAATAACATTTAGTTTTGAACGAGAACAACCAGAAATAATACATTGTTTGATTATGTAAATACACCTGGCCGGGGACAGTCCCTCTATGACTTAACATAGTAAATCTTGATAATCTTCCTGTTCATAAAGGTGAGTTTTGTGTTGATCACCACCTTATATCAAACGCTTAATTTCAGATGTCACCTCTTTTGCTAGCATATAGGACCATGGATTAAACTGAAGAGAGTTCCATGTCGATTTCGATGTATTTGTATAATAATTATTCAGTCATATACTAAGCACGAGATACAATATAGGATTCAAATATAGATTTGAAGTGTGTTTTCTAATTCGAATACACTAGCTCGAGCTGGACAGCATTTAGTTAAAACTTCTTCAATCCGACTATAAATTGTACTGTGATTAGGCTTATTTAGATTTATGTATAGTATATTCAATATCACGAACGTTTCTAAAGTTGAAGACAGTTGATAAGATGAATGAAAGGTTGCCAGAAAATATCTGTAGCTCGTCATCGCTCAATCGCGATGTTCCTTCCCGCATCATTATACATGTCGTATATCGTAATAAAGACCGTCAAATTGAAAACAGTTGCGAGTTCTGTGCATCCCTATTAAATTGGAAATGTTTTATTTACTTTTTTAGATAAAACTTCACATAAATTTTGGTTTTCCGAAAATTGTAAGAACTTCAGATATCATGTTAAAATGTGATATCTATTTTGTTTTTTTGCCGTTTGTGACGGTAGACCACGAGGATTGGATGACACAGTGAGGCAGTGGAAAGACACAACAGGAACACATTCACCTACAATGAATAAAAAACCCTTGGCGCCTATAGCGCTCATCCGGACGAGTTCACTGAAATTACTCTCTATCAACTAAAATTACTTCATCAAAACTAAGAAAAAGTATTTTAAAGATTTATATCTATTTCCCATATTGGGCCCGCCCTCTGCCTCAGTAAGTGTCAGATGCACTCACCAAACAAAATAAAAAAAGGGCAAAAATTGAATTATTTCTACAAAAGTGAGACTTAAAGGATTTGCTGTTTATTCCGTTTGATCCTGCCCTTCCGGCTTCATGGGGCCAAGACCATCATTAATACCAAATTTGTTCCCCTTCGCCGTAGAATGCTTCCGACAAAACTTCGATCCAAACAGAAGGATTTTACAGAAATCGATCTTTATTCTCTATGTTGATCTGAAACCCACAGTTAAAACATTTATCCCCTTCATCCAAGGATACTTTACACAAAAATTGGGCGAAAATCACAATATTCCTACCATAGAAAACGTTGACGTGCGGAAACCTTGCCATGACATAAGCCTACCCGTTTACAGTCTAAACTCTCTGTGGTGAAATAAATACGTTACACTGGCATGATTCTACATGAAAATGAATTATTCGTAAGGCACTGTTTTAGTACCAAAAAATTATCCATTGAGCAAGAAGTCATCGCTATTTCAATAATGTACCATTCACCTTTTTGAATTTATTATTTTCAGGTAAAACATTTTAATTAGAAATACAATGCTTTTGATTCTATGTTGATCTCGCTCTTTGCAAAGTAGTACTCACTTGGGTGATGGCTGTATCAGATGACGCCCTCCATGCGAACAGACCATATTGTGTCATAGTGAAAATGCCACAAACGGATGTAATAAGTCCGTATATCAGACTTAAATACTTGACAGAGAACCTGTAAAATAAAAGTATCTTAAAGGGGTCACAAGCTGAACAGGTGCCTTATCATGGTTAGCATCACGTCATGTCGTACCGTAACTGTCCAGTTTTTAGGGGATTATTTTTCATTTGGTTCTGCTCCATATTTTCTACTATGGTTTTAATTGGAGTTTTGATTACATTTCTTGGTATTTGGTTGTCATCGGAACAGGATGTTTTCCTCAGTAACTCTGGAAACATCGTTTGGCTTTGCAACTAACGATGAATATGAATAGGAATATGAACAGAGAATAAAGCATGAAAAGAAAAAAAGTTTAGACAGTTTTGAAAAGGTGCTGATCAATTATGTTTTCTCTTCATGTGAATTAATTTGCTTGGTTTATTGACACGGAGCAGGGCCTCCTTGTATAACTGGCGTCTACCTCAATATACATACTGGAGCCCCGATGTCATACAAATTATAATTGAGCAATTAGAATAAAGTCACCTCATTCTTTTGCAAGGACAAAATAATCTCAGCATAATGAGGAAAATAAATCGTTCTAGGTAATGATTAAGTTATAAACCTCGGAGGTAAAAGGTGTTGGAAAGTCACCTACTCGCTTATCGTTGCACCCTTTCTTCGTGTGTCGCTTTTAATTGTTGTATCTGCTATATTTTTTAACAGGAGTCCTCATGGAACATTTCCTATCGTATCTACTCCTGTAGGTTTCATATCAACGGTTGCATTCTTCAAAATAACTTGCCTATACAGACAAAATAACAGATAACTGGATCACAACTTACGCGCTTCTAATGAATTCCATATTTGTAGTGTACACGAATGCCCGGAGAAAAGTCACAACTACGAAATCAACATACAGGACTGTCGCTGTCGGTATGAATGCCAGGGCGGACAGTATGATGACGAAACCAGATGTCAATGCTAGTGGAACTACCATCCTCATATTTCCTAGACGAGCAATTAAGAGAAAACAGAATGATAAAGCTCAAATTTTGTCCCTCCACATCTTTCCTTTATTTTGTAATGCGCCAATTCTGTGTAATTGTTATTAATTTTTGGACAGAGCTAATTTTAGTTAGGGTGAGATCTTTGCAACAACTTTGACTGTGAAAAAAGTACATGGTATCATCTTTATATTAGGTTCCTGGGTGCTGTAATGCATATTTACAAGGATGATGATATTAATAACAAGCATTGTGCACTTTTTAGAACACGAAGCTTATTTCATGTCATTTTTCAAAGTTCTATTATAATTAATAATAATATATCACTAAATTAGCATTGTAATAGATATGCTATTTGACCAGTTACGTCATCAAACGGTTTCTTCTAGTTTTATCCAAGCAGGTCTGTTTCACCATAGTTATTGACGCTCCGCGTTCCATCGGTATGTTACAGAATAGGATTGAAACAGATACCGGTCATTAACTATTTCTCTAGTTATAGAATATACATTATTCTATTAATAATCATTCATATTGACATCGGCTGAATACGTGTAAAGAAGTCTTACCCGTAAACATTTTATCCATAATATTGATAGTACAGCCGGCGATGAAAGATGGCACCAAACTGCCGACCATTGTAATGGTCATCACATCAGAAAAATAACTCACTGCAAAAGCCAAGATAGTTTTAAATATACTATATATATATATATAAGTTTTTACTGTTTTACTTCGCGGTTGTCCAGACCATTTATAGGGAATAAAGTCTTGTAAAACATAAAATTAAAAGAATAATTACATTTCTGTGTAATACACATGCAGAGTTATTTTTCACGAGTTTATCCTTTCTAATTTGAAGATCATTTACATTACATGATATCACACATTCATTCTGGTTGATACATACCCATATTTTCTGTATGAAGGAGTTGTTTCATTGCTTCATTTGCCGATCCTATGAAGTAGTAGTACTTCAACAACACTGCCGTTACCCACAGAACGTGAGATATGAACAGAGGGTGACTTATGATGTCCACTATAGACCAGCTATCTGACGCCAAATCGGATGTTGACTGCCTTCTGGCTTCTTCAACTATACATTCAATTAATTTGATATCAATTGATAATAAAGTACAACTTTGATAAAAATGTACATGAGAATGATTTGACAACAGTAATAAACACGGACCAGGGAAAGGGAAAAATTATGGAAATACTGTCAGTAACGCATGACATTTTTCTTTTGTTAGGGTTCAATAGACTACTGTTTACACATTGCATATACAACACTTCTGTTACGAAATATTTGCGCTGGATTCCTACGAAGACACGATGGTCCTCACGTATTAGTTCGAAATAATAATCAAGTGACATGATGGCGAAAAGGCACATTTGAAATCTGATTTTCAGCAAATTTGCTACTCCATGACAGTGCCATCAAAGATGACTCCAATTGAATTTTAGGTTTCATATCATTGTAAAGATCAAATGTTTTTATTTGTCTAATGCCGATATAAATGCCATATCTTAGTTATAGTGTAGTCTTAAAATTACTTCAGTTTATCAATGATTGCAGCTACTTTCCATTGGAGGAAACTCCATGTAGTTTAGACTACATAATCATATATTACAAACAAAATTACCTTCTTTCTTCGAAATAGCATAATCTCTGTTTAAAGGACTGTTTTCATTAGTTCCGTTCTTGTCATTTGGTGACGGATGTAGTATTGTGCACACACCGGAAATGACGATAAAGGAAATGGCGACACCAACAAATGATAACTTTTGATCAGTTCCGTCTTCATAGAGTTTCTGCAAAAAACGATAGAGACTACAGAACTGGTAACTTTTCAGACGCACATTTCATTCAGAAGCAACGGAATTTAAAAAAAACTAGAAATTCAATTCTGAAAATTTGAAGTTCTGCCATATAAAGCAATTCCGCTACTGAAACATATTTTTCATATAACCTGATTCAGAGTGGTTATCCATGTCCTATGATGTTATTTTGCTTTATTTCAGTGGATTTGTACAAAGCGTCTTAACTGGCATCAAACAGATCACAGGCGGATCTTGGCGCCCATCCATTGTTATGATCAGTTCAAAAATAGGAACCAAATGGAAACTGCATTTGAATGTTTGAGAAAGACCTATCCAATCATTCGTAAAAACAGCAATAACAAACCTTTCTTTTTTGAAATCCAAGATGGCCGCCTTTCGGCCATTTCGTTTATCTGATCAGTCCCAAAATCAAACGGGCACAGCCAGGGACAAAGGGGAACCAACACCTTAAATATCTGAGAGATCCATCTTGTTCTTAAGAAATAGCTATAACAAACTGCATCGTAAAATTCCAAGATGGCCGTCTGCAGAACATTTATTTGTTTCTGATCACTTCTAAAATCGAACAGTCGAATCAAGGGGGAACCCACTCCAGTTCGTTGAAGAAAAGCGATAACAAAAATAGCTAATGATGGATGGCAAACGACAATTTGAATATTCTATCATTTAATGATGGTAGGCTATAAATGCGGTAAGGAACTAAATCTTAAACATGATATGCTTCTTAACATAAATCAACATACCAAATTGCATTGAAATCCGTAGTCCAATTACCCTACTCGCACGACTCCATCGGTAGGGAGCACACAATAATGTCTATACTCGTGTTATTGACTGGTTCAAATAAACGAAAACGTGACAGTTATATCGCATATTCTAAACCTAAAGTTCATTATATCCGACAGATATTTTCTTTTTTCGCTCAAATGTGTAGCTTTAACTTGGTGCTCATATTATAAGGAAATCAGTAATTGAAGTAATTAATTAAATAACTTTTTGTTTTGTATACATGAGCTTATGTTTTACCTTTACCAGCATGAACGTCAGTACGGAGGAATCGTAACACCCGTTCAATAATCCAATATATATAGAAGAACCCCTAGAGAGTAAAAACGGCACCTGTTTTCAAAGTGAAACAAACTCATATTAATTCTATCACAGTTGTGGTCATATGCTTAGTGTAATACACGTGGGTAACATAACTACAACCTTAATTACTCGATTTTGCATGATACAGTATGATTTTGCTATAACAATTATTCACTAATCTTTGATCGGTAACAGGAGAACACTGAAGTGTTTTCAGTCAAATGCAATATATACGATGTAAAAGAGTAATACGTAGGTCGGGGACAACAAACATCCATTTACATGGCAACAGGAAACAACGAATTTGTCTGTGATGAATTAAATTGTCGTTGGTGTCATATTTACAGGTATAACGTTGTGTTATATACGGGTTAAGAACATAGAAAATTATTTAATTTCGCGTTTTGCTATGTTCGCGTTCCGAATTTGTTTGGAATATAGCGAGAATTATACGCACAAAAATACCTGTCGTACAGTAAGTAATTAAAATTCAATATTCGATAAAATCAGCAAATGTGATTAAAACAGACATTACATGTATCTTATATCAACATTAGAAATATTTCAACGCAAGATAAAATCACATACATATAGAGTTTCACTTACCTGTTTGAAATTGGACACCAGTAAAGACGTACCAGCCACGCTCACAGCTGTTATTCCAGGTAGTAGAAGCCAAGGAATTTCTATCAGTGACCAATAAAAGATTTTAAACATTCATTTCTCTGTCCTCTTACGATTAAACAATTAATAAAAATACCTCCATTTCTTTGTTCAGTATTTTAACAGCATAGAGTCTCGATCTATGTTTAGAACCACAAAGTTTGTCTGAGTATCTATAGAGAAAATGTCTGTATTACCTGGTGATGTGAAAGCTAAGAGTAAAATTCCAGCGACACCAAGTGGCCTGTATATGAATAAAAAAGTACTTTAAATTGATGGTAGCATAAGGCATGCTTTGATTGTATAATTTTCTTAATATAACCACCGCTACATTCCTGAATCATCATCTTTGACTATGACGCTAGCCAAAACATGGCGACCTTATTTCCTTTTAATGCATGGCGTTGACACCCGGGAACGGTTTGATATGGTGTACACTTTGACACCAAATTTCCTGGCGGAGATATCGATGATAATGACCTAAAGAGATATGTTCAGATAACTGTGGCCTTGCAGTTAAGGGGTAATAATTGTATCTGGTTTCACCATTGCATGACGATAAGTGGAGACAGAACTTGGGATATTTTACATTTTCTCTATATTCATTCTAATGTCTCCGTTTACATCGTCTCACTTGTGGTCTTTATTTTAGCCTTTGCCCCTTTACGAATGACTTAAAGTATTAGTTATAGGTCGTTTTGTTCGGGAGTCCTCGGGTGTCTGAGTTACACACGAGTGCTATTGTGCGCCTATTGCACAATCTACGAGACCTTTCCGGATTTGGCATTTTTAAAAAAATATTTTGATAACAATACACCTGTGACATGTAAATAACTTTGGGTTTACTTGAGTAATACTACATTTTCAGAGACTGTCTATGGTCTACACTTGTGGGCACGGACATCCGGTTGATTTTTCCTTCATATAAAAATAGAGTAATGACCGGTTTGCCTCTGACAGTGTAACATGAACGAATGGAGTGTCCAGTTTAGGGCTTTCGACAGCCTACTAGGAACTAAATTTCCAAAATCACATACAATCGCCTTGTACACATCGGGAGGCCGTCCATGAATTGGCAAAGCTGTTGAATGGACGATAAACGATATAACTAAACCCAAACTTATCACTAATGCCAAAATTAAGCAATACGACGAACTCAATTATCCCAAGATATTGTGGTACTACATTTGCTGGAAAATTCTGTAAATTGATGATAAATTAAATCTAATCTCACTTCGAAATGATTTTATAACAGAACGTTACGTTATGTAAACTAAAACATATACGTATACATACATGGAGATAGTACGTATCCGTTTAATCTCGAACGACATGTATAGTTGACCGTGAACAATTGTTCCTATGGTGGATACCGCTATTCCAATGCTGAATATTAGATTAAATTGTTCATCCTGGGGAACACAGCTGTCCTCAGAAGTTACCAATGTTGTATTACTGGGAGATTCCGAAATACACAAGTTTTTGAACACGCCTTCTAGTTTAAGAATGAAGACAAGGGCGACCCAACCAAACTGCATTCCTCCGAAAAAAAATATTTCTAAAAGGCTTGTAAAAAGCAAAGCTACAAGCTTGGCGTTATTCAGTTTAAAAGCCATGGTCTCTGGCACAGAATATTGTTTCCTGTGTTCTTAACATCAATTAAGTGAATGCCTGTAAATGAAGTCACCAAGCGTATATGCTTTCGCTGTATGTGCAGCTTAGATAAAGAGAGATCTCGTAAGCTTTCACCTCTTTCAGTAATAGTATTCCACTCCAATCACAGCTGTTGATGAATCAAAACAGATCAATAACCATATTTATTTCTAAAATATTCCAGAAAAAAGAGTCCAATCCAAGCCTTCAATATACGCATTTTGTGCAATACAGAAATGAAGTGTTTATAACATTAAAACAAAGAGGAGGCACAGTGACGGGAAACGGGAAACCAGCGTCAAGCCAAAATATATCCGGTTCTCATGTAGGGCTGTAAAAAAATCAAAACTTGCCAGTTCATTCTGCAATATTCTCTGCAAGGTCCAGGTTGATGATATTGGGATTGTAGTATAACAGGATAAAGGACTGCTAACTTTGTTAAATTCAATGACCTTGACCCATTTTAAGGTCAAATGTATTAAAATGATCAAACGACTTCTACTCAATAACCAAAAGGCCCCGGTTGCTTATATTTGGCCTGTAGCATGCAGAGATGACGGATTACCAAATTTGTAAAACTTATTACCACTTCTGTTCATTTGGTTGACCTTTCCGTTTTTAAAGTTCAAATGGGTCAAACGTGTTAAAATCTTCAAACGACTTCTCAATAATAAAATGGTTAAGGTTGTTGATATTAGTTCTTTTACATAGGTGGATAAAGGGGTTCCGAATTAATTCAAATAACTGACTTTGATTCACATTATCTTGGGTCAAAATGAATTTATATCTTAAAGTAGTAGCATGTGTGTATATCAAGAATATGATATCATGCTTACAGAAATGTATGAACAATCAACTGCTTCTTCTTAAGCTGTAGAGTAGTTGGGGAATTTTGTTTAGTCCTATTTGGCCTCTTGCATATGTCTTTACAACCATATGACCGTTCAGACTCATGTGGTTATTTATCATGATGATTTTTCATGATTTTTCAACAAAAACGAACGCGCGCGCGCGCACTCACACACACACACACACACACACACACACACACACACACACACACACACACACACACACACACACACACATATATATGAAATATACCTTCTTTCTCATTTCAGCTAAAAACGTTTCAAGAAAGTAATGTGGTTTGTTGTGAAAGGGTCGAGTCTTAATAAAATGACGGTTGAAGGTTAGCTTGCCAGGTACCAAACAGAAATTGTAGCTTTACTTTTAATTCTACAATAGACACACATCTTTGACGATTCCTCTCCAACAGTATTATAATAACTTATCATAAAAACAAACACACAAACATATAGTAACATGCAAGTTACCTATAGTTTCCAGAAAGGCGAAAAGTTATAGAGGAAAAATGTATCTGCTTAGAATAAATCGTGTCATTTAGCGTAAGGGCCACTAACAAGAGCTGTTCAAACTTGATTCCAGCGAGGGTCAATTTCATGTTTCGATTTTGAAGTATCGCATATCACTTAGGCTTCCTCCTCGATACTCCCCAGGTCAAAGGCACCATCGAAGTAATTTAATTGGGCTAGAGTGGTCTGCAGGAGCGACATCAAACTTCAAGTTATAACAAAATAAAGTTATGTGGAAGAGTCCATTGATATACATCGGTGAATCAAACTAGAGTCATATCCACAAAGTGACCCATATGCAACCTTCAATTTTGCAATGACACGTTCCAGGGGTGCAGGGTCGCTTCAGAACATGCTTTAGCTATGTCTGATGAAGACAGCGTTTTCGAAGATAATTACATGTATAAAATATTTGATGTTCCACTTAATCACATATGTTGGAGATTAATGGATAGATACTTTAAGTACATGTTCTTTTCCTGATAGGATAAACATTTGTATGATTCAGTTTCACTTGTCGTTTACTCCAAAACACTGACATGTAAATGTTTCGAGTTTGTCACTTGACGACCTCTTGTACAAAAATCGCGATAACTGGAATAGGCCCTAGAATATCGAATTATCTTATTTTGAGCAAAAATCGGCCATGAAAACGAAAATGATCCTGAATAGAAATGAAGGTGAAATAGTGCAAAAACGTATGTTTCGTCATTAGCAACTTCTCGTTACAGAATTTAATGTTAATATCAAGAAAACTTACCACCTGGGTTTAGTTGTTTCAATCTAAGTAAATGTGTTTCTTCGATTGGTAAATCCACACAAATACTTCAATATTCTATTGTGGATACCACCGATCCTGCTCGTTGGTACACGTGTACTTCGTTGCAGTGTTACAAAGACATATCGTATCAGGCTGACACAGTTATTACCTTTACCTGTATTCTTGCAAAATTGATGCATTATGGTAAATAAAGTGTGTTCGTTGATAATATCCATCTTGCCTTAAAAAATGTCGTTACATGGTGTCAGTCAATTTCAGACCATGGAGCGTCTAAAACCACCTCCCAGCTTACAACTTACAGGTATCCTAGCAGAAAATTTTCTCGAGAGTAAGTGAGGTGATAGGCAAAGAGCAAGAAATTAAAGGATATAACGAAGATAAAACGAAACCAGCAGATATAGAAAAAAAAATTAAAAGAATACTGCAATAAAAAAGTGACCTTCAATATTATTATTATTATTACAGTCTTAACGGCCCGCCAACACAAGAAAAGGTCATTAGGGCCATCAACCGGAGAAACATACAGCGATCCAAAAAGAAGAAAAAAACATTTAACAAACTAAAAGGTAAAAGACAAATGCTTAAAATCTTAAATTGTTATATTACAACAAAAGATTAAAATGGTAAGCCATAGTCTGTAATATAGACCAACATCTTTAAGATAACCTAGAATTTTATAAATCTCAAAAGTTTCAAAAACGGTCTTTAGAGTCTCAAGTAGACAGAATTTCATGCAGTCCACTAAAATGTTTAACGGTTTATGGCTCATCACATCCTATGCACCAAGGATTATCTTCGCCTTTCAACATATATGAATGCATGAGGTATGCATGGCCCATCCGAAGACGTTAAGAATCTAAAGACCTTTTGAAACTGTTGACATTTATAATATGTTATAGAATATGACTTTAATCTTTTGTGCTGATATGACCATTTAAGATTTTTAGCATATGTCCTTTCCCTTTTAGTTTGCTGGGGTTTTTTCTTCCCCATTTTGGATCGCTGTGATTTACCGGTGTATGACCTAATGACCTTTATGTGTTGACGGACCGTTAAGACTGTAATAATAACTCGAATTCATGTATCAAGTAAACATAGAAATACGTTTAGCGGTCGTGGTTTTCCGGATGACCTTTCAAAATTCATTTCAATGGTTATATATCAAAAACAAACAATACACTGTTTTAGAACTTACTAATTCCGATTTCTTTTGAAGACTAAAACAAGATAACTTCTAACACTTATTTTTTCACTCACAATTATATATTATTTACACTGTAAATTAAAGTATAGTATGTGCTGTATGTAGTATATACTTATCTGACATGCTTGTAGAGCCATTGAAGGAAAACTCCATCTAATTAGTCCTGAATATATCAGAGCTATAATGGGTAGAACCATCCGTAAAATAAATAAATCAACGAATCAATTTAAACTTCAAGTGAGGCTTTAGCTTGAAATAAAAAAAATGAAAACTAAAAAATTGCTGAACATGTAATTTTCCTTTTGACTTCAAACACTTAAGACGTTATTGACAGGCATCTGTCAGGCATCACAGAACCTTCTCTCCACAGGTATAGGAAACACATATATATCTTAATTGATGAAGCTAAATGACCATGGTCAATATAATTGGAAACATAACATATACAACATGTATATACTGTATATTGGTTTGGTACAGAAACATATTTCATCATAAATATTATTGTATAGTAAACAAATATATTTAGTGCATTAGATTAGATATATATATATAAAATAATCAATTCATTTGAATATCTTTTTTTTCTATACAATGGTAAGCACTACTCAAAGGCAGCAAAAAAGAACGTTTTAGGCCAAAAGCTGACAATGAATATTCACAGGAACGTTTTACGTAAACTGCCTGAATTTTGTCAAGGATTTCATAAAAGTTACATAATGTGAAAATGTCGAAAGCGTGACCTCTGTTTAATATGCCGTTTAGATTGGCTTTTGATTGCATTGTTAGCTTCTTTCCATACCTGCTCTTTTTACTCGCTCGACAGATTCATACACTGACGGTCACGTGGACGACAGCATCGGCATCATTCAGCTGAGCTAAAGGTGAATAAAATGAGTTTCGGCGTCGCGAGCTTTGCGATACTGATTTAATGGCAAAACTCAACTTAGTTTGAACAGTCAGTTCAGCAGGCTCACTTGAGAATGGCCGTTCACCTTATGTAAATGAAAGAAACATATCAAGACATGTACATATACAAGGCGAGGTCAATGCCACAATTTGTCAAATTACAGTGAAGCAAAATTGTGATGCTTTGATAGACTCTTGTGATAATGATTACGGTCGTTGAAATAATCATCTCAATTTTGTACTTTAGATTTAGTTTTTGATTATCTTGTCATTTAAACGAACAAGGATAATAGATCGAATCATTTTAATTATTATTTTATATTAATAACAATTCATTAAAGGTTAAAGCAATTGTCTTTTACCTTTTCGTTTGTATTTTCCTTTTTTGATCGCTGTTTTATTGACTGATTTGTAATAAATTTTTCTTTCATTTTCTTTAAAATAGATTTGAACGTCAACTGCATGCAGACAATACCTATCGCAGTTCATTCAAATCAAACAATATTATGTCGCACATCGAGTTGTATTTTGTTAACGATGTCTTATCGAGTAATTTTAATTTGTCATATTTCTGTTAACAAATCCACCTGTTACAAGTTCAAAATGTATGATATACATACAAGTATATTATAGATGAGAAAAATTAAATGCACGGTCACTCTAAACAACGTGTCACAACGTGTCAATTCATAAATTAGAATAAGACGGAATAGACAGCGTATATTGATGAGCATTTTTAAAGAGGAAGTCATTTTATTTTTATTTTGCAATGAATTAACTTGTGTTTTACAGTGTTTAAGCCTATATCAGAAGTTTAATAAGGTTGAACAACTTTCTTAATAAAACGACATCTGTCTTTGTTTAATAAAAAGCTGTTTCAAAGTAATGAGAACTGTTATCTATCCAGACTCTATCTGTACTACAAACTCTTTTGAAATTGATATATTGAAAATATTTTCATTCGTAATACATCAATACTATATTATGAACGTGCCTTTAACTTTCGTATTCAGTTTTGCCGGGTTCCTTGGAAAATGGTAATACCAGGCAATGACAAAAGCAGATCGTGCCACAAAGGACGCTTTATCGCTGCCACCTGTTGGTTTTAAACTTCATTTTACTGATTTATAACCATTTATCAAACAATTCTTAACAGCTCAGTGGCAGAAGGATTGGAATATACTTACAATCAATTGCACTCCGTAAAATATATCATCGGAGAATGGTCTCTATGCTACAGAGACAACCACCGAGACGAAGTTGGCCTATCCCCTCTTCGGATGGGCCATACCTAGCTTACGCATTTCTATATGTTGAAAGGCGAAGATAACCCTCGGTGCATAGCATGTGATGAGCCATTCACAGTTAATCATTTTCATTGGACTGCATTGACCTTCTGTCTACTCGAGAATTCTTTTATTTTTATTTTTAATATCTAAAGACCCTTTTTGAAACTGTTGAGAGTAATAAAATTATAGGTTATCTGAAGGATGTTGGTCTATATTATAGACTATGACTTACCATTTTAATCTGTTGTTACAATAAATTTAAGAGTTTTAACATTTGTCTTTTACTTTTATTTTGTTTGATGTGTTTTCTTTTTTGGATCGCTGTATGGTTCACCGGTTGATGGCCCGAGTGAACTTTTATGTTTTGACGGGCTGTAATAATAATAATTATAATAATAATTTTCAAGACATCTTTATTTGCAGGTGTGATGATGCTTATGTGTACATGTTTTATTTATCTATCAGCTTCACTTTCTTTTTCAGCTTTTGAAAAAAAAAATGAACAAAAACGCATTCAACGCATGCAGTCGTCTATCATACACTGGAAGGCACCCTTTTTATTTTCATTGCTTAGACGTTAAGATTATAAACCAGACGAAATAAATAAATGGCAACAGTCTAAACCGCTTTTGATCATTAAAGCAACCTCTTGATTATAAAAGTGTATTTGGAAGTTAAAGGTTTGCCATCCTTGAAAGGACTGGGGTTAAACTAAGAATATTTTGGCAGTTGACAGGGTAGTCACTTATAAGCGACCCTTCTGTCAATTATATGCAGAAGATATTTATGCATACACAAGTACTGATGACATTAAAAGTCATTATGTAAACTTCGTTCATTCACCAGCACAGAAAAAAATCATGTCATGTAATGATGTATTAACAATATACTCATAATTGCTTTATACTAATTCAAGTCATGTATTGATGTAATCACGTGATATAAATAAATACTTATATATCATTTACTTATAGGATACCAAGGGAAACGGCATCAACGGTGAAGAAGAGACGGTTGCTTTAGTAAAGGGCATGTATTACTATATAGATTACTTTTTATAACTGATTCCTTCAGGTTATCCTTCATATTGTCTAGTATTTCTGAAAAAAATAATTTAATTTGATTTAAATTAGCTAATTAATTAATATCTTTACATTACCTCTATGATGCATTGTGCACAACTATGTAAGGACTATTTCGGAACATTTATCCCAGGTTTGTAATAACAGTAGCATAGAAGTCCGTATAACACAACCAACAGAAAATTTAAGTGTGACGTTTCGACGGCCTCTATGTCAGTTTGAAAATCATATCATTGGCTGATACAGAACGCTTACACAAACATATTGCACCCTCTCAAAAACACTTTCATTATCTCTTGTACATTGAGATGCCGTCGTTAAATGACTAAAGCTGTTGATAGGAAGTTAAGAAATAGAAACCAAACGATTGAGTAGGGAAATTCCGACAGAGAAAAACAACCCTTTCAAGCTAAGATAAGGTTAAGGTGGCCAGGGAGTAGGGGACCATAGCCTTTAGCACATATATCACGAACTGTCAAAGCGTAGTGGAATTGACAATACATATTACCATCTCTTGTGCTAGTTTCTTTTGTAATCGTTTATCATCTCGTTGCTCTATTTTCTGCCATGGTGGCAGTAGTCATTTGTCTGATGAAGTTTATTCATTGAAACATCACGTTGAAATCATCTGTTTGTGCTAGATGATTGTTTTATGTACAGGCGTACATGATCGGGTATTCTATATTCACATATATTAAATCATTATACATGTATGCTTATGCTTGTGGTATTGAAAAGTGGTTAGCTTCGTCTAGAATTTTAAATGCCATGTTATGGGCATAAATCCAACAGAAATAATATGGCGATACACGGAACGCTGTAACCACGATCCTAGCAAGGTTTATAAGCTTTGTACAAGTAACCAGAAACAATGGTTTGATTACAGTGAATTATCTCCCCTGATGTAACTGTCGTCCCTTTGTTCGGTATATGTCATCTTCATAATTTGTATTACAGTCGATATGTTCCTAACTCAGTCCCATCCGCATAGTCTCTGAAGTATGTGTATGTCTTTTCCTCTGTACTCCTACCTTTTCTCATACTCTACTCATAACAAACTCACAATTGCATGTCAGTGTTCAAAATAGGAAAGTTTTGATTGAATAATCGCGAACTCTGTAAGGCGGAGCTAGCTGTTAGTGCCATGGACTAACACAAGTACGTAATTAAAAAGAATTTAATTGAAATTGCATGCAAATGTGCAATGGTATTTGTCAATTATTATCCAATTGATATAAGTAAGCACTAAGATGATTAATGATTTGTCTATGTTTTGCAAACTGCTAAACAAATCGTCATGCACAAAGGAGAACTTCTTCTTTGTCATAACTGTTTGGATATCATAATTTTATATCCTGTGCTTGTATCACAATAGAATATCTGATGTAAACTAAACGTACGTGTAAATAACCTTTAAATCTATATAGTTTCCTTTTTCTGTTTCTTTTCAAATGTTTCCTGGAAGAAGCCTGTCGTATCGATATATGTGTGTTAATGAGTTAACTTTAAAAAGGCCCATTTATTCATGCATGTGCATATCGAATATTAAAATTGAACGTATAAAGAAAATTGTTTTTAAGACATGTTTCTCTTTCATGAGTTTTTCAAACTGGTTCACGAGTGTGACTGTCATCGATTTATATCTCCGTCAATCTTGTGGTTGTCCTTCAAGGATTTGTTTTCAATTTTGCAGGATTTCAATTCACTGCTATGGACGAATTCAATATGGATGAATCTCGTACTGACCTTAAGAAGGCTGACAGAGAGGATGAAAAAACGATCGAAAATGGCTTTCCATCGGACAAAATCACATTTGAGTATGAAAATACACCTAAACAACTTCTCTACAATGTATCAGATCGAACACCGGTTAAGATGGCAATCTTCTGTGCCTTCCAGGTAAATATCTTCCAATTCTTTAATTTCACAATCGATTAAATCAATTCTTTTCAACATGCATATCTATTATTGATAAAGCAACATTTCTTCTACAGGCCACAGCAAGCTTATACATTTAACAGGTGTATGAAGTTTGATGAAACGTTATAAAGTAATGAAACCGCTGATAATGCTTTTCCTAAAAAAGTAACAATTACCTTGACCTTTTCCCAACAACAGCTTGTCCCAGATATTGTAGTTGGTTGTAAGTGTGTGAGGCTTGACAAAAATTCGGTAAGGAATGAAGCCGCAAGAATGCCGACGATTTTCTGAAAACTGCAAGTGACCTCAAACTTGACCCAGCAACCCTGAAACTAATACATGTTCATTATATTTTGTTGCTTTAAGCCGTAAGGCTTTTTTTCTGATGGTACCTCGTACGTTCATATCAAAGACGAACGAGTGGAGAGAAAAGAACTAGTCTCCTGTCCTCTATTAACTTTATTTCAAATTTGTTTTCAATTAAAGCAAGTTCTCATAGTGTTGTCGGCATCTCTGGCTATATCATCCTTCGTTGCGGACGCTGCATGTGCTGAGGATTTTCCGGACATCAAAACCGACCTTCTGAGCACCGCCATGTTTATGAGTGGCCTCACAACTCTTCTGATGGTAGTACTTGGCTTCAGGTGAGGAATGCATTAACAGTAATGACGTAAAACAAATACAAAATATGGTAAACTCACAGATAAATATTTTTGTATCTTTCTTGAATACCGAATGACCGTTAAACCAGTATTGTTATGTACATTTAGTAGTTTACAGTGAAATTTTAAATCACTGCCAAAACCCTCTCCATTTTCATTCCTTTTTTCCACCTACTTATTAGTAACCACACGTGTACATTTTTGTCTCATTTTTGTGATGAATGCCAGTTCTCTTTTCCGTTCTCTTTGTGTGGTGACTTGTTAAAATTGCCAAGATAACATTTCTATTGAGTTCTTTATTTCGTGGTCTTGATTTTCATCTTCGTGTTAATGGTCGATTGAAAATATAAAAATAATTGAAATAGCTTTGTTTGAAGTTTCGTTTTTACTATTAAAATTTCCATAGTTCTTCATCTTTGCTTATAAACACTTATTTTTCCGTTCTCCAGACTTCCCGTGTTCCAAGGTTCTTGTGCCGACTATGTCATACCGTTAATGGCTATTCGCTTGCTGAACAAAAATGTATGTGACCTTCCAGGTAAGTGGATTAAAATTTGCCAAAATATGTGTGATCATCCCGGTTGGTGGATCCAAATTTAAGTACTGAATGGATATCTCTTACAATTCATCATAGGTTCCCTTTGGTCTTTTCTTAGGCTCGTTTATTTGGAGACTGAACAGAAAAAAGAAAGAAAAAACTGGCAAAAAGGGGGCCATCTATGGTTTTGACTTTGTGAATTTGTTATACTTATATCTTTCGAGCTTCTGTATAGAATTGTTTCAAAATTGATATATAGTTTATTTTGGTCCCTAGTTGTGTCCATCTATTTTTGGGACTGATCAGAAATACAAAATGGACGACAGGTGAAAATCTTTGACAAATACGGGATGCATCGTTCATAAATTCCATGTGTGTGCTTTCCTTGGTCCCTACTTGGGCCTGTTTGATGTTGGTATTAATAAGAAAAAACAAAATGGCCCACAAGTGGCCATCTGGGTTTTGACATAGAAAACCTATTTACACGATTTCTTGCGAACTATCTAACTATTAAAGAAATCGCTGTTATTTATCATTTCAGAGAATATTCATTGTACGAAGAATATATTATAAAGAATAAATAGATAGATAAGCTCTGTAGTGGATTGTTTAAAATTTGAGGTAACCATACATATTATATATTGTATGCAGCTTCTAATGAACAAATAACATTGCTATGGAATGTAGGCTTTGGCATTACTTTCGAAAGGTCGAATAAGCTGTACTTGGCTCTTCTGTGTTTTTTGTCGACGTTAAGCAATAAAAGCCTAACCAACCAAATTCTCCTGTACATCTATATTCAAAACAAAATTTAACATTATTTTAATAATTTCAAATCTTATTATCAAATATAAAACAAATCGAATTCCAGGAAAAAACATGCCTTTTATTATTGGTATTTCATACATATATGATGTATCTGGTGAAAGTATTAGTAATTACTATCTGTTTTCCTTTCTAGGCTCGCTGATAAATACGACGACGAACTTTACCTTATCGAACGACAGTTCTTTTCAAAGTATTGAAACGTCGGGAAATATTGATCTGAGGAGGGAACTTGCATATTCTAAGTTGCAAGAGGTGAGGTCAATTTGCACTATGGTTTTTCGCATGCTCGTAAAACTCGATTTATTTTTGAATTTCCACATTTCCATTCGGTTGTAATAACGTTCTTTTTAATGCATTTGTCGACATTGGCACTGTTCAGTATTTGATCTTTAGGAAAGAGTTTGCCGTTGTAAATAAAGAGTTTGTTTCTATAGTATGGTCGAGACGGACTACAGTTTTTTAATGGTACATACTGCTCCATGCTTAAAGGGTTTTTGCCACGATTTTTCATGATGCCTTATTTCAGCCTGAAATGTCATAATTATTATCATCCATTCACAGGACAGGTCTCTTGCAACTGATCCGGTCCTTTTTACCTTAGTGTGATGAATATTCATATTTGAATGCGAAAAACGTTAAGTAAAACCAAACGTGTTCGGGGACCACTGATTTAACATGTACAACATGTAGAGCTTGCTTCCCCTGTTGACACCAACCACACATCGTGAATATATACATATAAATCAGTCGTCCTCTTTGTAAATTATGTAATAATATATGAAAATATAGTGCAAACTAGTAAAGTTGATATTGGCATTCGTATTGAAAAATATATACAAGAATCTCATCGCTCAATTTTTATGCTTTTTACTGCTGAATTGTCGCTGAAATTAATATATCAATTAGTTCTGAATTTCCACATAACTCTCTTGTTTATATTAAGATTTTTGACAAAGTGTACATGTATGGAAATGCATGCCATTTGTACGTTCGTAAATAACTCTTTATACCACCGAAATTGACGACCAAAATAGAAATCAGTGACAGCTGTTCTTAACACGATCATATGATCAAATATGTACGTATATATATTTACCATAATATCGATCCTTAAATAGGGATTTTCTACATATATGTACAGTTTGTATATATATATGCAGTGTTAAATAGGGTTATCGCGCGATCATATGATAACTGACTGCCTTCTATACTACTGTTTACAGTAGACGTAATACTTTGAAGTCACAATGTACCACGTGACCGGTTTACCTAATTAAATTCCTCGCTTATGATCAACGATCACTTTCGACTGCCTAGAAAACAAGAATCGGGATATACTTGAGTGGCTTAATTTAGATGGTAGTGCTATCTATGGTTGTTTTATAACTGAATTTAACAAAAACCGGAATCATGTCTAAACCCCTTTAACGCTTAAGTTGATGGTGGCATGATGAGTAGTTTGTAGTTAGAAAGAGTAATGAAACTAGGTTGGGTATCCTGCTGGGTGTCTGTGGCAGTACATGTAAGTATGGTAGAAACGGTGTGATGTATAATTTGTTTTATTTTTTTACAATAACACAAGGAGACTTGCAAGAGTTCTTTCCTCGTGAACATCATGTACACAACCGCTTCACTAAGCGGATATTCCATTTCGCCTAGACTAGTAAGGTGTCGTTTAATCTTAAGTTTTACCATTACATTTATTTATATCCCATCGAGACTGATAACCTATTTACATTTATGCAGATGACAACTAACAACATTTCTAAAGAACTCGTCCCAAAATAGCTAACTAGCTCAATTTTGTGCGCCAAACTCTCACGTGGTTGGCTAACAGCTTGCTGTCATCGCCATAACGTTAATATGAGTCCGTTTGCGTTGTGAATGTGCATCACCTAAACCAGTGATCGGTTGCAATCAATTGATTACCGATAGTAAATACGAGCATATGACGACCTAATTCAACCATTGCTGTCAGTGTAACGGACCGCCGCTTCGGATGTGAACCAAAACCTCTGTTCTTCGAATTAGTAATAAATCATTTTATTATAAACTGTCCTCAATTTGAAACCTCTAAAGATGGTCATTAGATATTTCTGATGTTCTTTTAAGTGTTAGTGGGATGTAAAGTAACGAAATCCGAAGTAGCAACTTGCTACACAAAGGAACAATTTTTCAAAAGTATTTACCAACCTTAAACAAACATTATATATATCTTGTGGATATGACTGAGAAACAAGCGAGATAAAAAGTATTTATGAATAAAAACGGTATCAACATCAAAAAGAAAGGAATTACGACATCTTAAAACGATTAATAAAACTCTTCTGAATAATTTGTCGCAGCGCATCTCGCACCTTTACATACAACAGTATATACAGACGTTTCAAACGTGGTGAAGAAAATTGCCTCGAGTTTGTTTACTCTAAACATCGTGTTTTGCCTTTTCATCAATGTTGAATCTATGTTCTCAACAGAAGCAATTGCAATCAATTTTGCTCGGAATAAACATTATTTTAAAAAGTTTTAAATCTAAATGTAATTATCTCCTTTAGAGAAACGTTTTCCGCGTACATGTTATTTCGTTGTGTTGCTTCGTGATCCTAAAGGGAATTGCCTGTCTAGTCAGAGTTAGCACAAATTGAACAAGCTGCTAAACGCATATCCTACATCCAGAGTTTAACTGTCTCTTATCTGATCTAAAGCCGAGAATAACAAATTAGAGGAGGAAAAGCAACACAAGAGAGCTCCCCGTTGTTACTAAATGACTCGAATGTGTTCACAAAAATGAGAAACTCCATAAAAACTTTGATCAGTAAATTTCCATCAGTCTGCGCTACCACAGAGTACGGTCTCGCTGTTAAGCAATATGACATGCGATTGAAATAAATCAAACAGCAGTGTTATTGATAAGTAGGAGGTAATTGTTGTTTTGTCCACTGTTTTTCTGTTTTAAAACATGGAAAAGTGTTCCTAATTACTAAATAAAGCTACTTTATCAATTAGAAATCCGCCCAGTTGATATTTCTGTAAAGAACCAGATTCACATAAATATTCATGTCCATTTGGCGAGTAATTTAATGTTTAATCTTCAGAAATTAACAAAAAATGACATGTATTACAGTTTCAGGGCTGTCTGATCCTTGTGGGTGTAATCCACTTTCTGATCGGTATGACAGGTGCAGTAGGCTTCCTTCTACGATTTGTTGGCCCGATCACCGTAGTACCGACTATATTGCTAAGCGGAATATTTCTATCCAAGGCGACAGCAAAATTTTCAAAGGTTCACTGGGGTATATCAAGTCTGTAAGTAAAATAATATTGTCTAGTTGTGTGTATCTAGCTGTTTAAGTTTTTTGTTTATTGTTGTCATTGGTGAATAGAAAAAGAAAACGTCAACAAGAACACTCTTCACACTTAAGATTGGTGAATCGAGGGAAAAATAGGAAAAAACATGAAAATACCAACATGTCCACATAATCATGTTCCAAACTCAGATTCAATAAAAATTATGAGATTTACACGACGACTCCTGAAAAATTACTATCAAATAAGACCAGGTGTCCGGCAGAGTATGAACGGAGGAATCAGTTACATTGTTTCCCATGAAAAATAGTTCATGGTGTTATTTGTTATGAATGAGATAAACGACGAAAAGTTTATATAGATGTATATGGGGATCGTAAATCTACATATCATAAGTTCCACCTCCAGAATGAAAGAAAACAAGTTGTGTATTATTGCTATCAACTCCATCTCTAATTTATGGAAATAAGCATATCTCTCAGCATTTGTCATATTTACTCCGATATATATCGATTTGCTGCAGCTGCCTCTAATAATTTAGGTACTTCGCATTGCTGGCGGCTCCTATTTAGTGATTCTTATTTTCTTTTGTAGAACGGCCGGAACATCTATAATCTTATCACTCTTCCTCGGGCACAAGGAGATGCCTTGTCTGTCTTGGTCCAGAAGAAGAGGTTTCTATGTGTATTGGTATCCGTTCCATCAGGTCTTCTCGGTAAGAGTTTTCTGTGAAGTTTCAGTTCGACAAAGCATGAGTCTATCGGCTGGTATTAACTTGCGCTTTCACTTTTCAACCGTTTACAACACATCGTGATGTATACAATCACGCTTTTTTTTATACAAAATCCCATTGTGTTTCAATATGCCGGTTTTCTTGTTACACACGTTCATATCTCTTTTAAAACGTTTTGTTATCTTTTATGTCATTACATTCGTCAGTGTCACAATTGGAAGAATTTGAATTAAAATGAATAAATAGATGATTTAATTTAAAAAGCAGTCTGGACCATATGAAAATGGTATCCATCAATAAAGCAGTATCCCAACGATTTACCATCACATTGCAGTTTCATAGCCCAGACACATAGGATGACGCGCCACATTTATCGACAACTTGCTTTCTAGTAATTTTACATTACAGTTGTGGTAACGCACAATTCATCAAAAACTTAATGCTTACATCGTGCATGCATCGCCTGCACACACGCACGATACAAAATCAAGCACTTAATCACAAGCGTATCAAAATTGACCGATGATTATAAAAGTCATCATTAATTCAAGTGTTCAAAGTAGCCGTTGTTCTTACATTAATTGGTATTACTATCGTTTAATTTCACTCCTCCGAGAGTGGCGAGTGGTGTGTTTCGGCAATCTATCAGGTTAACAGTGTATATTCAACATGCAGTATTGAATTAAGATTGATCGTATTAGTTTTGAGCTGCAAGCCCAAATTTGAAAAAAAAAAAAAAAAAAAAAATGTGATATTTAAGGTCGATTTTCTTTCAGATTTTGATCGGTATATGTGTCGGCTGGTGTGTCTCAGCCATCATGACGATGACAGGAGCATTGACAGACAATCCAGATCATTATCAGTACATGGCAAGAGTTGATGCTCGGGCAGGGATCATTGAGAACGCTACCTGGTTCAAAATGCCTTACCCAAGTTTGTATCTTTAGAAAGTATATTCCAACTTCCGTTATATGCACTTGCTTCCAATTAGTTACACGTAAGAAAATCGTCAAGTATACAACATTAAAGTACTAACATGTCAACATCTCAAATTCAATAAAACCAGGACAAATTATGAACAAAAGAAAAGTTTACTCAGACTATAGAAAAATTAAAAAGAGATTAAAACCAGGTGTACCGGAAAAGTAAACATATTTCTGTTTCATTGACGACATCCGCAATGTAAATCTTGGTCAATCAAAGTATGTAGTAACACGGCTTCGAAGGAGATCAAGATAAACAGCAGTGGAACCAAAAGACAAACTGACCAGCATTAGCTACAGCCAGCTTTGGATATATATACAATTTCTTAATGAGAACCCTACGACGACCATATAAACTTCCCCATAGTTTCCATCAACCTGCGTTTTCTGAAACCCTGTGTTTGTCCGCCAGATGACGACTTCTTGCTTGAAACCCGGAAATCATAATATTACTGAAAGTGCAATAAAACGACTTTGCAAGGTTTTTGTGATCTGTTTTGATAAGCTCTTCGATACATCCAGCCTCATATAGAAAAAAAGTCAACCAAATTAACAATGAAATGCAAAGCTTGCTGAAGCCATTTACTATATATATACAAGGATATTATTTTTTCTAATCACGATTTGATGGTTTGTGCTCAGACATAATGACAACCACTCATGTTGTATACGGAATCATTAGGCCGTGAAAGTAGAGTCACAAGACATGTTACAATTCGTTGATACCGTCCAGCTTTGATTCTTTTCAGTCTGTTATATTTCAACAATTTAGTCTCAGTGGCAGTCGTAGGATGAGGTTTGCATTGAAAAGTGCCATAAATTGATATATTCTATACAATCCTCTTTCATGCTACAGAAAGACACGCCTTTGAAAGAAGTGACTCTGATGTTGTTTGTTTTGAATTCATAGAATATCAGGAAGCATAGTCAGATGAATAATTAAGTATCTATGATTTCAGATCAGTTTGGGCCACCATCTTTTAATGCTGGCATCTTCATTGCATTCCTCATCGCCACGGTAACCTCAATACTGGACTCCATTGGAGATTACTACGCATGTGCAAGAGTTTGTAACGTACCACCTCCTCCGCGGCATGCCGTAAACAGAGGAATTGCTGTAGAGGGTTTTGGTAGCATACTGTCCGGTCTGTTTGGTTCTGGGCACGCGACAACCACATCCGGCGGAAATATCGGGGCATTGGGCGTCACAAAGGTATACTTTTCAATTTATTCTGTATTACATGATAGATAGTAATTATGTTAATCTGACCGGAACGCTCGCAAAAAATGAAAATGACCTCAAGACTTAGTCTATCAAATGATTGCACTAAAGACACACAAGTGGAATGCACTCTTCAATATAGATTAAGAACAATATACAACACAACAAGGCATAATTAAACGGCATCATGCAATTGCATTACGATAGTGTTTACTATGCCGTTGTTGACGCTCAGCATTGAGTTGGAAGCAATAAGATTGCAATATCGGTTGGCTGTTATACTTTCGTTTCCAGAGTACGACATATCAATCTTTCATCGGCACCGTTTTCATATAATATTATCTGTTACGAGGACATTTTTTTCTTGCTTATTATATCATCGAAAAAACAATTGAGAACCCTCTAATATTGCAGGTAGCGAGCAGAGATGTGTTTTGGTGGGTGTCAATTATATACATGGTCTTTGGCCTCGTTGGGAAGGTCTCAGCGGTCTTTATAAGCATCCCGGTGCCTGTTCTTGGTGGTGCCATGATCATCATGTTTGGAATGTTAAACGGCATTATCCTCTCTAATCTACAAGTGGTTTCGCTCTCTTCGACGCGGAATCTAGCGATCATCGGGACAGGAATACTTGTGGGTCTGATGGTACCTTATTGGATCGAGACATATCCGGATGACCTTTCCACAGGTACGTTCAAATGTTTACACGTCCTAGTGTCTATAGATATCGGGAATAATATTACTTTGAAGCACTGTCTTGAAATTAAGGTAGAATTCATATATCACAAACTACAACAAGAAAAACAAAACAAATCGCTTACAAGGACACACACCTGAACGTCTTATTGCGGAAGCATAGGAAGACAAAAACAGGAAAAAGTGTGGATATGCTATAATGTTATGCTGTCTGCCAATGAGAAACGTTATACTCTTTTTTGCTTTAGATTGTGTAAAGTCCTATTGATGTCTATGGCCATTTAGATATGGCCTCTCCGCGTATACAAAATCTGCATCGACGGCTATGCCTTTAAACATAAAAACGCGTACTGTATATTCCCGTTTGTTATTCAACACTAGCTATAATGCAGAATGACTGGTTAACCCATTTGTCTGCCATTTCGTTTGCTTTGCAGGAAGTTCCTACTATGACAATATTGTGAAAACCCTCCTTATCAACCCAAACTTGTGCGGAGGTGTCACTGCCTGTCTTCTGGACAACACAGTTCCAGGTAAGTTATGCTACTACAGCGATCATGCGCTAAAACAGTTGGTAGTACCTGGTAGGCTCTCACTCAACATTGTCACATAAAAGCTAATAAATATCGTACTAGGTAGGCCTGCAATATTATTTAAAAGTTACCACCTTACCTACTTGTGCAAACTTGACAACAAATTACTAGTTCTTAGATTTACTAAATCGTGGATATAATCTTTCTAAGCCACTATCTATTTCCTAATGTCTTCCCATTGCCTGATTTTAGGCCTGTATTAGAGCGCTGGCCCATGTGACCAAGACTTTGCATTTTAAGCCTTGACGGAGGAAGGTCGGCAGTTACCGCACACTGCTTATTGATATAATGATTTTGTTCATTGTCTGTATAATGTGACCGGTTATGATGCCCTGTAGAGTGCCTTTGACAGAACACTAAAATGTGGTAACACTATATAATATGCACTGTTCCAAGGAGACTTGTACAACAATTTCGAATATATCTTAAAAGACGTCTTCACCGCGTATAATGCATGTAGCCCTCCTGTAATTTTCATTAACAGTGTAGATCGCATTACAAAACCAAACAAGACCTATTACACAATTTATATATATATTTTTTAATGATTAAGGTACACTGGATGAGCGGGGCATTACGGCATGGCAGGAATCTAGCAAGGGTGACAGCATAATGAAGTATAGCGAGGGAATAGATGTATACAACCCCCTCGTACCCAAAAAATGGATGACATGGAAGTTCATGAAGTACATACCGATCTGTGTGTACAGACCGACGCAGGCGGGTAACCGAAATGGCGATATATTAAACTCACCGTTGGAGTCTACCTCATTCTAGTGAAGCATGTATGGTAAAAGCACATGTAAATATAATGAAGGATAAAACGTCGACTAAAAAGGAATGTAAATAAACAAGAACGCAGGTGCGATACCCCGATACTTTTTCATGGTACAAGTCATGTTACCGCTGTATGAACCTACTGTGACGAAATTCCTCCCCCTTTCCCCCTTCCAACAAAAAATAAACAAAAAACAAAACAAAAATAGAAGAAATGTGTGTTAATTAGTATATATAGAGTACTGTATATGTCCCAGCAATGTTATTTTATAATGTCAACAAATTTTAGAAATGTGAAAGTATTTCCCATGATATCTCTGTCAGATGTAACGATCTAAAATCTCCCGGGACCAGAATCTCATGGCAGTGATTTTGACTTCTTTAAAAAGTGGCCATATATTTCAAATAGTACATTCGTAGAGAGTGATAGAAAACAGTGTTAACATCAAGTAAACCACCAAACATACTGGCGAACAGCAAACATGTCCAACTCAATACTACAGAACGGAATTACCAAACACACTGACCAACTCCTTGGTATAATGATCCGATTCCCATTCTCCTTGTACATGTCAGTGACTCTCGTATTAACGTTCCTTTTCTTTATATACACTATACATTCAGTAAGGGACCATCAATTTCAGTATGATTTTTTTTATTGTAGCTGATTTTCGCCACTAAGAGATACACCCTACTTAAAGACAACCCGGATAACCTGGTACTCTAACCAAAAAGTGTGTTTGCCACCTAAAGCAGTGTCTGCATGTATATTAGTCGGTAATTAAACTGTAACAAATTATTGTGTATCTTATTGAAACCGACAGAATTGAATAAAACGTAAATATTTTCAATTTGTCAATTCCATGAAAACTGATTTTAGCTTGTCTTTCGGCGTTAAATCAGTAAGCACGTGGTCATATAAAAAAAAACTACCAACATGCACACATAATTATTATCCAAACTCAAATTCAATAAAACTTCGGCAAACTATGATCACATGAAATATTTACAAGGAGCTTTATGAAACATTACAAGGAAAATACGACCAGGTAATACGGAAGGGTAAGCGTCTTCTGCTTCATCGACGACCACTCCCATGCAAGTCTTATTCAATTCAAGTAAGTAATGCCACGTTCTAAAATGAAAATAAGGTGTACAACAACGAAATCAACAGGCAAATTATCCAACTTCAAATATCACACAAAGAAATAGAACATACCCTTTCCCTGCCGATAGGGATTAGAATATACCACTGTGTCCTACTGCATGTGTTAAAACCTGTCTGTTGTGGGTTGCGTGCCGTTAGTACAGAAAGAAAAATCCTGGTTGTTGAGGGGCGGCTATGTGGTTTCTGCTTTATTCTCAAGCAATCTCGCATGGATTTCCAAGTATACATGACTTTGGCCTCTATCTGAATAAGACAGAGGATCATTGCGGCCCTCAAACCTTTTTGTAGCTTTTAGTTTACAGTTGTATCCCAGAAGTCGCTGGCGCAGGGGTCATTCGAGAGAGTTATATTCTTTCGAGTATACTACCTGTGTATCCTTGGCACTCGTGTACCGGCAGCATTCTCTCAGTTACATTTTTTAGACTTAATGTCACGTAAGCATGTATATTTTGTATACACTTGGGGTAAGTCACCTTAATGGTAGGGTACCGCTAGGCGGAATTGCGTCACGGGTAGGTGTGCACGGGGTGAGATTCTCATGACAGGTATTGTGTCATTGTTACCGTGCACCCGATATGGATTTATCGGCATTTAGCGTCATGTGAGACAGGCACAGGGGACTCACTGTGGTAAGTAATCTTTATCTCTTTTTCTTTTCTATATTAGTTGGTATTGTTGTTTTGTACCAGTCCATATATCGGGTCAAACAATCTAAGTATCTGTGCGCTCCAGTCAGCCGTGACCATTGTTTATTGTTTGTATGTTGATAACTTTCATTTTTGTTGTTTTCGTACTATAATTGAATATATTATGTTTGTTTTCCTAAATATGCACATGATATAAACATATTGGAGTGTTGTACATGAAACTGCATAGTCTATGTCATGTTTCGGGTCGATTTTAAAATCTATGGAAGCCCTGATCAATTTATTAGTGCCGAGCGTAGTGCGTACGCGAACGAGTGGAAAAAGTATGGAAGCCTTGAGGTGTCAGTTGGTGTATTTCGTAATTTTGTTTTATTTTGTTTGTAATTTGGAGCCGCACATTATTTCGACGCTAATATGAACGTATTTCAGTATTTTCTAATTATGGTTCATTCTAAAGTTGAATAATTATGGTAAATAATAAGTATTTTGTACCATGTGTTTTGTTAGTATAGTATGGAAGTGTGAGTGGAAATTATAACTATTTGTGTTAATCATTATAGCTTCACATGACGGGTTGGAACATTTATTGAGTCAGGACCAGGCAGGCCTCTCCTTTACATTGCGACCCAAGCGTCAGGACCGACCAGAAGTAACGACTTTCATTCAGGGTCAAGGTCAGCGAGGGAGCATACTTAGAAGTTACACTGCCAGGGTCGGCGACTTGAATTCAGCACTTAATCAGCTGTCATGTCATTGACATAAGTGCGTTGCCTATTATGGTGATACAAGCGTGGAACTGCTTGAGGACGGTGACTCTGGATTGAGTCACGGTGATTCAGAGTATGGAACTCTATTGGGTTTGACAGGAACACTGTTCTGTTTCGTGAGCTAGAAGCTACAGGGACACTTATCATTATTTGGTTTATGAGTGTGTGAGTTAGCGAGTGTGACATCTTTAAATATATAGTTTATTTGTTTCATTGTAAATAAACATCATTGTTATACTGTGATCGGTTCTTCCAGCTTTCTTTTCCCGGATCACCAACCGTCGCTCGTCCCACGTTAACAATTTGGTGGCAGCGGTGGGATAGCCAACGTTAGTTTTCGGGAATAGATTTCTGATTGAATTGATTACGTTAGGCTAGATTGCTTGACGGATACCGGCTAGGATCTGGTTGTTCCTTGGGGTGGTTTGAGATACTCTGTGTGCATTTTAACAGGTAAGACAACAGGTTTGAACAAACATGCCGGATCTAAGGTGAGTACTTTTACCCCGCTGTATTATTCGGTTTTTGTTTGTAATTTTGCTTTTGTTTGTAGCAACGTGAGATTGTTTTGTTTTCAGGATGTCTTCCCTCGCCGAGTTAATGGAATTTGGGAAGAACTTTGGATTAGAAGGTGAGGCACTTCGGTTATTTGTTCAAGAGCAGCAAGCAAAGGAAAGGGAAGATCGCGAAAGAGAAAGGGAAGAACGCAGACAGCTTATTGAGATTGAGGAAAAGAGAGAGGCTAGGGCTGATCGGAGGGCTGAAGAAGAACATAAGCGTAAGCTGGAACTGATACATGCAGGCCAAATTTCGCAAGCGGAATCAACCCAGAGGGGCGATGCATTGGTGAAGAAAGGTCCTAAGTTGCCAGCATTCAATGAAGAAAAAGACAACATTGATGCATACATCCAACGGTTCGAAAGATATGCTACTGTACAGAACTGGAACCGGGACGGATGGGGAGCCAACTTGAGTGCACTATTGACGGGAAATGCCCTAGCAGTATTTTCTAGACTACCAGTTCAGCAGGCTCTTAACTTCGACGAGTTGAAGAAAGCTCTGCTAAAGAGATTTGACATGACAGAGGAAGGTTTCAGGAGAAGTTTCCGTACATCTAGGCCTGAGGGAGGAGAAACATTTTCCCAGTTTTCTATTCGTCTAGACAACTATCTGGAGAGATGGATTGAACTCACCCAGACTGTCAAGACTTACAATGGTTTGAAAGATCTAATTATGAGGGACCAGTTTCTTCAATGTTGTAACCAGGATTTGATGTTGTTCTTAAAAGAACGGATTCCCACATCAATTGGAGAAATGTCTACATTGGCAGATCAGTATGCAGAAGCCAGAAGAACGAAAGCAGCAACCCTGACGACTTCCAAGGGAGCCAAACCCGGGGGGCATAGGCCAGCCGCATCTGGACATTCAACGTCCAATTCTACTGCAGGTAAGTCTACCTCCACGACAGCTGACGTGTCAAAGGACAGGACCTGCTTTTACTGCAAGAAGGTCGGTCATATTGCATCGGAGTGTCGCAAGAAGAAGTCGGACAAGACGAAAGAGGGAAACGCAGCATCCATTTTGCAAGATGTGGGAAGCTCTAAAGCCGAAAATTCCACACCGAAGATGAGTCTGGCTTGTAACACGAAGTTGACGGGATCTACTTCTATGCCAGTTGTATTTGGTCGGGTAGGCAGTAAGGTGGTCACAGTACTTCGGGATTCAGGATGTGATGAGGTCGGAGTGAGGCGGAGTCTAGTGGATCCTAAGAAGATTACCAAGAAGACTAAGACTTATATCTTAGCTGATGGTTCTCGCCTCAAGTGCCAGATCGCCAACGTCCAGATTGACACACCATACTTTAGAGGCGATACAGAAGCGTTTTTACTGGAGTCCCCATTATACGACGTGATAGTTGGAAATGTCAAGAATGCTCTTCCTGTAGATAAACCGGAAGAACAGTGGCAGTTAGACTCGCTCAATGCTGTACAGACGAGGGCAGAAGCGAAAAAGACAGCGAAGCCATATAAGCCATTACGGGTTGCTGAATTCATGACCGATATCGGAGATGTACAAGACTTGAAAGAGGAACAGCAGAGAGATGCTACATTAGAGAAGTTCCGGAAGCTAGCGATGGATAAGGATACGTATGCACGTAAGGATGGAGGGAAGTCGGTGCTCTTTTACCGTAAGGGGTTGCTATATAGGGAATTCCAGAGCCCAGGGATCGCTACAGGAAAAGTGTTTCGTCAGCTTATCGTTCCAGTGAAGTACCGTCAGATGATCATGAAACTTGCGCACGAGTCGATAATGTCTGGTCACCTTGCAGCAAAACGAACCTCTAGCAGGATTCTGGCGGAATTCTTTTGGCCTGGGATCCAAGCAGACATTACCAGATTCTGCCGCTCTTGTGATGTA